ACGGACAGTGGTCGTCATATTTTCTCACACTGATCTTGAAAGAAATAAAACAGATATCACATATCTAACATCAACAAGAAATAAATTAAACAAATGTAATGGAAGATTTACATTCATAACACTAAATTCTTTATCTATTAAATTAATAGTCTTTTTAATGTGATATGAAAATTGCGTGGCATAAATGTAAAATGGAAAAATTTATAAGCATTGGGTGGTATTTGAATAATTTTAAAATATACATCTTTTATTAGTTATTGTGGGAACTAATAAAAGTCAATCCTGTTTGAAGGAAGAAAATTTGACTTCTCTCATTACCTAACCGCCTAAGGAAGAATTGCAGACTCTGGTTGCACATCACAAGCGGTCTTCACTAAAGTTGGTTGAGGGAGAAAGTATTGTGTTCGTGGTCTGAACGTAAGCTCCATCCCGACAACATACATGAAACGCCCGGGACAATTTCTTTGTATCACGTCTGTTGTCTTGTCCAAACGTAGCTTTATGCACAGACTCTAAACGTAATATATTTTTTTTATTTAATGAAAGAACAAAAATAGGTGGGATGTCTGAAAAAAAATTAAAAAATGAGAAATAATAATATTATTATTACTTTATGCTTTTTTTCACATTTTTGACAAATACTTAAATTAAGGTAAATAATTAATATATATATATATATATAGAGAGAGAGAGAGAGAGAGAGAGATAATTTTGATCTTCTTTTTCATAAATTAGATGAGTTATATAAATTATGTAATGAGGGCAAAGCGCATAACATTTAAATGTTTCTATTTGATTATAAACTCTCTTAAAAATAACCTCTTCATAATCATTCCTAAAATTTTAGGGCATTAAAATACGTGCCACTGGATTTTTAAGTATTTACATATCAAACCCTTAAATTTCACTATTTTACATTTATATCATCCAAATCTTTCGCATCACATAAAAATATCATTTTTTCAACTCATAGGAAGTGACACATCATTTTGTGCATAGATAAGGCGTCGCATATGCAGAAATTGCAGTTCAAAGGTTAAGCATGTAAATACTTGATAATTTAGCAGGGTGAAGCTCATTTAGATGCTCATTATGATCTAAGAATAATTTGGGGATCGGACATTATTTCACTACTAACTGTTCTCTTCTAGAAGCATAAGTAAGTCGAGCGGACTCGAGCTCTTGTCTTGATAAGTGCATCGTGAATTGAGCTCAGTGAACTAGAAAGTCATGCTCAATCCAGTCCTAACTGGACTCGTTAACTTATGAGCCAATTCGTTTAAAAAAATATTAATATAAGATAAATTCAAAATATATTAAATTTGGGAATTTAATATTTGCAATATTAAAAATATTAAAAAATATTTTTTATTTTATAATACGTAATTTATTATTATTTCTCTTATAATTAATATTTTATTATAACACATTTTTAAATTTTATTTTCTCTCTTTTATTATAGCCAAGCGGCCCTTGAACTCATAGACTTAAGCTCGAGTTTGGACTCTAACTCGATAAAATTAATCAAGCTCAAGCCCAAAATAAATGCGACTTCTCGACTCGACTCATCTCCCCCCCTAAAAATCTTTGCCAGATGCACAAACCCTAACACCGCCCTTCCTCAGCCATCTCCAAGATGGGATGGGTACTTCATAATGTTTCTGAATATCTTCTTCATGAGCTCATTTTCATCAATTTTTTTATGTGTGGGGGCATTTACATACGTACCACCTAATTCCTATTTATTTACATATCTAACTCATAAACTTTGTTCTCTCAAATAACATTAAAAATAGTATTATTTTAACTTAAGGAAAAAGTGAAATACAAGATATATATGACCCACAGATTGTTCTTTAGAGGTTATATATGTAAATACATGAGAATTGGCGTGGCATGTATGTAAATCTTTTCTTTTTGTTTTTGTCAGCTAATAATGCAGCTCTATGCGACTGTACCCTATTTCCCAGCGTTACAAAATCGTTTTATACTGAATTTTTGTTATTAAATTACATCTTTGTCCCTAATTAAATACGAATGTTACCATTGATTAATGAATTATTACATCTTTACATATTTGTATCCAACTCTAGTATAGTTTGGTTTTAGTAACTGTTATTGGCACACTTTTGTATATTGTTGTTGGCATTGTTTCGTATTCTTAACTATACAACTTGGTAGCCTGATCTTCATTCGGTCGATTGATATTCTTCGGTCAGCTTTCTGCGGGAACATTTCATGGAGGCCCCCTTATCCTTAGAAAGGGTTTATTTCATCAGACAAAGGGTGTGTCACCGCAATCTGATGAGCAGTCTTCTTTCAGACAAGTGGTTTTTATAGAAGATTAAAAAGGAGTTCTGGGGGCGACCATTGATCTCCTCTGTGAGTGATCCAGAATCAATTGTGAGAGTCGATTTCGTAAGGTCATTCCCAGTTTAGGCGTACAGTGTTCCTTAGCTCGGATATAGTTTTATTCAGTCGGCCTATGATCAACCGGATGAAATGAGGTTTGATGACTCGGTTTTTTTTATTGTGACAATGCGGTCATTTGGTATCTTGTCAGTGTAATTTGTTGAATTCTCTTGAGATTTGTGTAACCAAATTCGACTAATGGTGCAAAATGTTCTTTGAGTCTGTTCAAATTCACTTAAAATTGACTCAAGAGCTTTTATTTGCTATTGCGCTTAAATAGAAATAAAACATCATCTATAAAGCATTCGGGTGTTTTCCTTCTTCTCTTACGTCTAATGTTCTTTTATGTACAATTTGACTTAAAATCCCGCAAAATTTCTGTGTTAAATTTCCCCCTCAGCTAGAAGTGAGGGTCTAATTAACCCCCATTGGTTTTGAGCATTTTACCTATTGGCACATCTCACACATAAACTTTCATTTTTACATGTAGCACTCAAATCATTTGTATTATCACATAAAATGTAGAAATACACTTATTTATGTATAGATTTAAAACACCAAAATACAAATATATATATATAAAATTATGAAAGCTTAGGAGCGAGACATGTAATTTATAAATGAGAAACACAAGTAAATCTTTGCTCAACCATTTTAATTTGAGTTAAATAAATAAATAATGTTTATTATAATTGTTAAGTTGTTTTTTTTTAATGCAAAAAAAATATATTACAATTTGAAATTATTAACGTTAAAGTCGAGCCGAACATGGCCCGATAAAAGGGCACACAATTTAATTAAGCCCAACAAATATCTGAGGGATAGAGTATGAATGAACATTGGGCCGAACATATACACATGTCATTTAGAAATTTTGGGAGAATTGTGTTCTATGTACTTATATAAATGCCCCTCCGACAATTATCTAAATATCACATTTATCTATTTATATATCTATCACCTAAATTTTATTATTTTACATTAACACCACTAAAATCTTTCATATAACATCACTATTTTTACTTTAAAAAATTGAAACATTCATTTTTCGTGCATACATAAAATGACATATATATATAAACAACATCAAATTTATATGTTATATATATATATATATATATATATAGACACACACACATATACGTGCAAATAACCTGGCTCATTGGTGCGGCCTCTGTGTAAGTCCCTCGGGTCAAGGTTCGAATTCCGTGGGGCGGCTCTTCGAATAAGAAGCAAACACACCAGGATTTTCAACCCTTTGGGAGAATCGATATTTGGTGCCCACTGGACCAAATATCGATTTCACACACGCGCACAGAGACGCACGCGCGCGCGCGCGCACACACACACACATATATATATAT